CACTTTAGGCACTGTTTTAAGTTAGATTTTGGGAATTTGAATAGCCCTTTCAAATTGTAGCAATTACTACAATTGTAGTAAAATTCTAGTGCGTAGAGTAGGTGGTGCAAAGAAATAGCACCCCTTAAAAATGTGCTTTTGCAAGCCTTATTCCTGTCTGTCTTGGTTAACACCTTGCTAAGGCACATAGTGGGAAGCAGGGGGCAGGACTTTATCTTGCTAGTTAAGGGTAACTAATAAAAGAGAGGCAGTTCTTGCAAAACTGGACCGCTAGTGTGATGATTCACTTTAACTTTTTGACCACTGAAAGAAGCATTATTTTACATGTGATATAAACATATATACTTGTAACCAGCTGACAATTATCCAATGTCAAATCTAGCTTTCAGATTTTCTTATTGGCAAGAATAAGTGATGGTCTAAATGACCTTCACCCTTGTCTAACATATTATTCTTTTCTATTATATTCATTTTTCCTCCCAGAAAGTAAAAAGTAATATAAACTCAATTCCAGGCATTTGGAAAATATGGAAATGTGTAATAAAGAATATACTAACCACTTCTAATCCTGGATCTCTTTCCAATGTCTTTCCTTGTACTTCTTTTTGTGTTGGCAAACTTTCAGAATAAAGGGTGCCAAGTCAGCGAGCCCTATTATATAACTGAACAAGTGTATATATAATAGCAGTCACAAAAATAACTCAGACAGAAATGATTACATAATTAACACAATTGCACCCTACTTTGACAAATGGCAGAGATTTTGCAAGACACATTAGAAAACTGTCCCCCCATTCTATAGTTCTAAATTATTTGTAAAATCACAGAGAGTACAAATACAAACTCTTTCCCATGTAATAATCACTTGCTTGCTTTCTAATCATCTCCCAGAATCATCTGAGTTGAATAAATTGGGTTACATGGTAGTGAATACTGAATATAGGGGTAACTTTGGAGCATGAAACACTTGGAAAAACAGGGAAAGATGGCCAATGAGAAACGAAGAATATAAAGGATTCCTAGGGGATTAGGGAGAAGGGGATCAGAAGGGGAGGTAGAGCATAAAATAATATGGGATGATGTCACAGATAAGGGGACTAGGGTAACTAGATAATTTATAGTAAAATCTAGAACATTTTCAAAAGCAAAAATGATGCTATTAATAATTGTGCTGGCTGGATTATACAGGGAAAATCAGAAAATATGGTCATTAAATAAACTTTTTATAAATAAGCCTACAGCCCTGGTGGCAGCCAACAGTTTGCTACCTTTATTATATATATATATTTACACACACACAGACATATATGTCTTGATATTTCCTTATTTTCTGCCTATCATTTATCATTTACCTCATATCATTTTTTACCTAGCAAAAGAAAATGCCAGATGTATGTTATTTATCCTTACTGGGGGTTCTTTAAAGAGATGGCTTATCCAGGAATTAGTGTAAAATGTTGATGAGGCCAAGATCAGGTTTCAATCATCACGAGATTGAGTTAGTCACTCTATTTTAGGGTCCAGACTTCATTCTCAGAACTGCTAGTAAAGATCTGTGTTATTGGCTCTTTATTTTATGGTAATCTTAAGCCAGATGCTGGCCTGCTGGACTCTTGCCTTTGCTTCTCTGTAGAGATTGTGGCAACATTTTCACTCTCCTCATACAAGCCTTAATATGTAATTCTCAGTAACAGACATCTTAAAACTGTTGCATCTTCACATCAGTATGCTGTGTCCATTGTGCATATTCAGGAACCAATACATCAGACCTCAGTTTGCAAAACATAGTTTGAAGAGGAAACAAGGCTAAATTCCTATCTATTTGGAATGGATCCTGAAGCAGTGTTCTGGATCTGCTTTCACCCCGGGGCTGTACTGGTCATTGAGAACTGAGACCCTTTTGGCTTGGAACTCAAGCTGAGCATGATCGTGGGGTTTTGCCGTTGCTGAAGGAACCCCAAAAGATCCCTTTGTCAGTCTGAGGCCACCAGGGCCAGTATGTGGCAATATAGTAACTACGGTAAAAGTTAATTAGCTCAGTTACTTAAGGGGACCCAAGTGTGAGAGCCTGCTCTATTAGATAGTGTGTACTAGTAGCAGAATAGATTTATTGTAGCCAAATCTCTCCCTAATGTCTCCCTCTTTTCCGATAGGACTCAGACTAGCTGGACTCCCCACCTCAAGATGCCCCAAGGAGCCCTGGGCACATGATAGAAAGAGGTGGAAACTTGGAGGAGTATAGACATTGCTTAGAGACTTTCTTCTCTTACTGGCAGGAGGCGGTGTTCAGTGCTTTCTCTCTGGCAACAGAGTAGGATAAGGTTGCACATCAAATTACTAGGAGATCATCTGGTCACCTGCTTTTTAAAGAATGGTCTTGGGCTCCTGGGTGGCTCAGTCGGTTAAGTGTCTGACTTTGGTTCAGGTCATGATCTCATGGCTTGCGGGTTTGAGCCCCACGTGAGCTCTGTGCTGACAGCTCAGAGCCTGGAGTCTGCTTCAGATTCTGTGTCTCCCTCTTTCTGCCCCTCACCCACTTGTGCTCTATCTCTCTCTCTCTTTCTCTCAAAATAAACATTTTTTAAAAATTAAAAAAAAAAGAATAGTCTCTGATGGGATTTCTCAAACTGGAGACTTTTTGGTGTCTCTGAGCTCTCTGTGAGAATTTACAATTTTTAAGTTTTCATTTAAACAGTAACTTAAAAGTGAGAAGCATATTGTAGAGCCATCTGAATGACCTCCCTACAGCCAAGTGCTACTCTGCAATTTTAGACTGTTTTTATAATTGAATTAGCACCAAGCAATTCTACTTTAATCAGGGAACTAATGAGAGAAGAACCGAAGCAGACTTAATATGTAAATGATGTGTTTATATCAAGTAAAAGCATATTACTATAAGCTATATGAACAATGGTTTACAGTAATTTGGATGAAAAACAGTGATGAGGTAATGTAGTCTTGCACTACCTGGTTTTAACCTGACCAAATTAATCAACTTTATGCTACCAGTAGTGATGGGGGAAACAATATCTTCTGTCACATTAAATTAAGACCTTTAATTTAAAACTTATTGGTTTCATTGCTTGATTTATATTCAACTTAAAGATGGGTGTTCTTTATAGTTACATAAACCCCGTAAGTATAAGGAATTTATACCTAGTTGTAACTGTGTACAAAGATGGTTAAAAATATGGACTCAGAGGCCAAATTTCCTGGGTATTAATCTTAGCACTGCCACATACTAGCAGAGTAATCTTGGGAATGTTACTTAACCTCTCTGTGCCCCAATTTCTTCATCTGATTGCAGATAATAAAATAATAGCTACTATTATTGTTAAGAGTAATTGAATACATTATTAGAATAATACCTGAAGATGCTAGATATTCCTATAGTAAAAGTTATTTAGCTCAGTAACTTAAGGGGATCCAAGTGTGAGAGCCTGCTCTATTAGATAAAGTGTGTAGAATAATAAGTGACATTTACATAGCACATTAAATTTACAAAGTGCTTTTTCATATACTTTTTTCACTTAGCCTTCAACATCTAACCTGAAAGGTAGATAATATTTTTATCATTTTAAGGATGAGGAGACCAAAGCTTCAAAAACCCATTTGCCATGAGCATTTGATATTTTTCCTCCTCATGGAGAATGAAGGGATATTTTGTTCAAACATTTTCCCATTTTCTTTTGGGTCGCTAGGAAGCCCAGAGCTAATGTTATATGTTAGTACACTTTAGTACTTGTGAAAAGACTTAATGGTCTGAACATCTGTATTATATTTTTTCTTCTCATCTTGGTTTTCTATTTCAATTTATATTTTCCCTGATTCTGAAATTTTATGTATACTATTTTATTATTTGGAATTTTTATAATCTGTCTCATATACATTTTGGAAAATTTTGATCCATAAATAAATAAACTGACCCATGGTTACATAACTGGTAAGAATCAGATCTTGGCCTCAGTTCTTTTGTCTTCATGGAGAAGTCATATTTATTGAGCATTAGTGTGACCTGGTGCTTTATATTCATTATCTCAGGTAATCCACACAATAATTAGTGTGAGGTATGTTATTGCTCTCTTTATTTTCAGATGAAGACATTGAAGCTTATAAAAGTTTTCAGACTTTCCCAAAATTAATAAATATTGTTCTAATTTTTGGCCCTATAAATTGTTCTTAAACAAAAGCATGAGATTCATCTTCTAAATTCTGCCCCCTTGTTAAGGGTGTAGGGCAAGGTCTTTCTGTCTCTGTTGTACACTTGTCCAGGTTCCACATCTACTTTCTAGAAAGAGCCAAAAAAAAAAAAAAAAAAATCAGAGACTGGTGCCCCAAGGATGAGGTAGCATGCAAATCTATGCTCACTGATACTGGCCAACTTACCTGTTTCTCTTCTTGGGTCAATTTTGGGTTTTATTTATAGGACTTGGAGATTGTTATTCTGATTGGCTCCTGTCGGCATATTTTCTGGCTGTTCCAAATGTGTGAAAGGATTGTTTCTCTAACTACCAGCCTGCAAAGAGGGTAGTAAAGTCAGCTAATGGCTGGAGTAAGGCAAGCGGAAAGCCTGAGATTGGCTCTTACCATTATGACCTCGATTGATGTCATAAGGAGGCACAGGAATCATTAAGAATCATCCAGAGAATAGAGTAAATGACATTTGACTTTCACTTGCCCTGCCATCATCCTACATCAGTCTTTATAGTATTTCCAAATAGTGATGGTTCCCAAACTTCAGTCATTTGATTATCACGATTTTTGCCATATCTTCATATCACCTTTGCTATTATGTGTTTAAAGTGTCTTTAATGTAATGGCACTTTTACTTAAATATATTATTTAGAAGGGAGACTTATATTGCCATCATTAATGGGAGAACAGTTTCACTTATTATTAATAGAAGATAATTGTAGAACTAAGTAAAATGAGAGTATGACAATAGTATTAAATTCTTTCCAGACATAGGGATTGGAAATTAGGAGGCCTGTCATTTATTTCTAACAATCCCGTAAACTATCACATAAACTATAGAACAGCATATGATCAATGTAACTTTTTGTGCCATCATTTTCCTCATTTGAAAAAGCTTCAAAACCATTTACCATGTTATCTGTGAGGAAAGAGGAGAGATTTCCTGAGCCAGAAAGTAAGTAGAGACAACAAGGCATTAGATTGTGAAGGAGCCAACAGAGGTTGGAAACTATAAAGTGTCAGCAGCATGATACAGACCTTAAATCAGAGGGTGCCAAGTTTGACAAATTGTCCCTTTGGTTTCTCCTAGAAAGTTTACTGAACTCTACTTTCAGATTTTGAGTAGTAAGATGAATAAAGAAAAGCAAAAACAGAGTGAGAGCTTAGAATAAAGAGCTTAGAAGCTCTTTGAATGAAGGGAAAAATCACAGCAGTGGAGAAATGAAGGGTGGAAGAAAAAAGGAGAACATATGTTCTCAATGTTAAAAATTACACGTCCTGATTCCTAAGTAAAATTCTGCTTCAGACAATTAATCTAATGACTTTGAAAATAGACACATATCCTGCAGTTTCTTTTACCTTTTTGGGAGGCTTATAAAATACCTGAGTTGCTTAGGTGGCAGTTACATTTGTGGATATTATTGATCATGAGATAAAGAAAGAAAGACATAGAAAGAGTCTCTTAGGAAAAGTACACAGATCATGGAACGATTCTAAATATAATTTGTTTTTCAACAAAAATAATTTATTGCCCCAATACAGGGATAATTTTCTGAAAGTCCTTATAAAAATGTCATTGGGAATGATTATTAGACATATTCAGCTTCCAAGAATACAAGAATATAACTTGGTTAAAGTCTTGGATAACTTGTTATGATGTATTTTGGAAAAAATATATGAGGAAAAAATGAAAATTGTTAGTTGGATATTGTGGCAGTTGTAGGGATTGGGTTAAGACTACAGGATGTTTACAAATGATTTAAAAAGGGAAAAAAATGCAAAGATGACATAGTAGCAATGAAAAAGTTAGAAAATGTCTTTAAATCAGTTGAGCAGGATTTGGGGTATGAATAGGTGTGCTGATAATAACAGTAAGAATAAGCAGAGCTACACATCAACCTGAAACTATTCCCGGGACATGCTGCTGTGAATATACTTAATAGCTGCATATCTTCATTAAGTATGCATAAGGAATAGTTATGTACCTGTTACCTTAAGATTAGATTGCTTCCTAGAAAGCCAAATGGGGAATTCAAAAATTTACGAGATTAACATCTTTGAATCCTATGGAAAAGGAAGTCATAAAGATACATATTTTATTTATCCTTTATTCTCTTCTCCAAAGCAACAAAAATCCAATTTCCCCTACCAATTTAAGTCTTATAACTATAAATGTCGCTATAGGCTCACATCATTTAGAAGGGCAATCTCTTTGGGTATGGGGAGCTTTCAAACTATTTGCTACTTAAGACTGAAAAATGGGATATGAGCTTAAGATTTCTGGATGTTTGAAATGTTAAATTCAACATTTTAAGGAAGATCATTGAATTTTTCTGCTTTCTAAAGTTGTTTACCTGTCATGATTGGATGTCCCCACCTCAGCATGAGTAGTCTCCTGGTCTTGAATGTGGCTTGATGTTCAGTAGGCTCTCAATTAAATATTGGCAAATTTGACTTGGGGAAAGTCAGCCTTCACAAAAATATAGATGTAAACATGGTGTGTCACTCACCTACAAAAGTCCTCTAGTCACAGAATGTTACCCATATGGTCTGATTCAAATATATATAGCTAAGGTCAGTTAGAGTAAGCAGGTGTAGAGACAAAGGAGAAGACTGTTGGCATAATCAGGGGACTTAAATAATCCTGAACTTTTCCGGATATGTTAGAGAGTGACAGGGGTGCCTGGGTGGCTCAGTCGGTTAATTGTCCGACTTCAGCTCAGGTCATGATCTCGTGGTTCATGGGTTCGGGCCCCGTGTCAGGCTCTGTGCTGATAGCTCAGAGCCTGGAGCTTGCTTCAGATTCTGTGTTTCCCTCTCTGCTCTTTCCCTGCTCGTGCTCTGTCTCAAAAATAAAATAAACATTAAAAAAAAGAGGGGTGCCTGGGTGGCTCAGTTGGTTAAGCATCCGACTTCAGATCAGGTCATGATCTCACGGTTCGTGGGTTCGAGCCCCGCATCAGGCTCTGTGCTGACGGCTAGTTCAGAGCCTGGAGCCTGTTTCAGATTCTGTGTCTCCCTCTCTGACCCTCCCCTGCTCATGCTATCTCTCTCTGTCTCTCAAAAATGAATAAAATATTTAAAAAAAAAAAAAAAGAAAGAGAATAGTGTTAGAATTCTGGAAACACCCTTTGTGCCCTCTTCTAGTTATTCCCCCACAAGTGACTACTATTCTGACTCGTAACACCATGCACTGATTTTGTCTATGTTTGAACATGAAAGTAGACATCGTGTAGAGGCAGAATCACACATGATGTAGACTTTCACATTTGGGTATGTTTGCGAGACACAGTGCTGCTGCATAGTTGTAGTACACTCACTGCTGTATAATATTTCACTTTTGAATATGCTGTCATTTATGTCTCATTTCTTTGGTTGCTGGACAGTTGGGTACCATTGTGATCCATTCTGGACAGATTGAAATTTGGCTTCTGGAATTTAAAGGAGCATTTCTAAAGTTGGCTTGAATGTGATAATTGTTGAGGAAAGCTTAGTATTACCTGGACTAGAGATTTCTCTAAAGGGGATAGGTTATTATCTAAAGAGGGATTCAGATTTATCATCAGAACTTGCCATGAATTTTCTAAGAGGAAGGGAAGACTATTATTCATGTATTGGAATTTTGCTGAGGTCTTCTAAATGTAATAAAATATTCACGTTCCACATATGTCTATAAAGTAATTTCCTACTTTTTCTTAAACAAAGAGATGTGCGCCTTGGATTTTTGTAAATTGCAGAGCCTGTTATCCACCATCACTACCTTGAAAACGTCAGAAATTATCACTGTTTTTCTCTAAAAAGAATATCAAGATCTGTCTAGGGAGGATAAAGTCCTGATAATTTCTCATAAAAGTATTCATGTCTTTATATTTACTCCCCAAGAGCTTTAGCTTTCAGTATAAAACTTCCATAGGGAAGGGTTGATCTCAACACCATGTGTAGGTTCCTTCTAACATGGATATTACAACATGGTGGTTGATCATAAGACAGGTGTGTGAGTATAAATTAGGAGAAATATAACTGTGGAGTCCAAACCAGGACACTACTATGGCAATGGCAGCAATACCGTCAACCATAATCACAGTGTCTGTAGGAAAGCCTCTGTAGGACTCTTGGAGATGACCATTGACAGAAACTTTGAGTTACTGCAAGAAACACAGACAGTTGGATGCTGATCAGACTCTCCATTCCTTTTCCTATTTGGCATTTGGAAACACCATTGAACCCTTTCCTTTGAGTAAGCACTTGGGTTTTGGAACAATCTGTAAGTAAGAAGCCTTAAAATGGAACTGGTTCTTCTTCTCTCCTTTCCTTCCTTCCTTCCTTCCTTCCTTCCTTCCTTCCTTCCTTCCTTCCTTCCTTCTTTCCTTCCTCCATATAATTTTGGAACTATATTTGTGTTATAAATACTATATACTTGTACTACATAGATTACCTTTATGAAATAAGGTAAGGAAAAGCTTTCATTCCTGCTTATTTGTTTGTTTATCTCTGTATGGACTTATGTATTCCTATTTTATTCAATGTGTTGTAGTCTGTTACGGTCCTTACTTACTCTGATGTGCAAAATGAACCACATTTGGCCAGTGGGGATCCCTTCAAGATAGCTTCTCCATCCTTTGATAAGTGTTTATTATTGTTTGAGCATTTCCTTACTCTCATGAACAACAGGTAATCCTAAATCATCTTGTATTTTCTTTGCCTCAGCTTTGGTACCAATCATTTCCAACAAGTGCTGGTTGCTTTTAGTGGACATCAATATTTGGAAACCAAGATCTAGGCACTCACCATGCTTACCCTTACTGAGCTGTCATTGCTTCTAAACTCTCTCAGAGAACAGAGGTAGAAAATATATGCACCTCTACACATAGACATACAAACACACTTACATTTATATCTATCTCTATATGTATCCATGTATGTATATATTTTTAAACTCATTAGTTTACATTCAAATACTTTCAATTCCAATCCAGCACCTCAGGGTTCTCTGCAGCCTTCATCTTTCCATATTTGTAAACTCTCCCCAACAGTGAGAAACCTGACTCCCATGATCCTCAGTGTATTTATCTATTTGTTAAATCTACCAGTATATAGTTGTTCTATCTACCATGTTGGTTGTCTGCTCAGCCCTGGCACTGCCATTCCCTCAGCAAGTGCCTCTTTCAGAGGAGGAGAATGGATAGAAAGAGTGGCTTAATGAGAGGGACAGAAAAATGGAAGGAGGGAAGGAAGGAATAATTTTAAAATAATAAAGAAGTAAATATCAGCATGATTTTAAGAACAATGATCACAGAGAAAGAATCCATGAATGAGATTAAAAGGCATATTTTATTTTTCTGTAGGAATGTGGGTGTTCCCTTTCGACTGAGAATTCCCAGCAGAGCTTCCTTCCATGCTGCCACCTACTGACACTGTACCCCCTTTCAGCAAACCCATTCAAAGCAAGAAAAAGTAAGGGCTATACTATCATTTCCTTTGGACATAGGAGGGGAAAGGCAAAATAAACATTGAGCTATTTATTCATTAGAAAAGAAGTTGTTGGACCTTAAACTAAAAACAAAGAGAGAGAAAATGAGACAGAAAGAGAGAGACAGGAAGAAGGAGAGAGAGAGAGAGGGAAGAGAGAACCTTACCCCTTGTTTGTGCCCTCAGGTGCAACTATACAGCCTGTATTAGTTACAAGTCCTTCTGATTGTGGGTTTGGACCAGTTGGGTTAATGTGGCCACTAGAAAACTCCTCTCTCCACACTGGCAGAGGCCCGGTGTGGTGCTCTTAGGTGGAAAGGAGCAAGAGAAAGGAGCCTGAGAGTACTCCCCAGCCAGCAGGCTGCAGGTTTTTGGCAGATGTCCACCATGTGGTATGAAAATGCTCTCAAGATCTAGTCTCTGCTGGCTGCTGCTCCTGCCTCATTTCCTGACACTCCCCTCCTCTGGGCTCCAGCCACACTGAATTACTTGGAGTTCTAGAATATGGTACATTCTTTTCACCTCCTTCCAAGAGGTGCCAATCTGTTTTAATCTTCTGAGTAACTGAATTCTTTCTCCGAAGCTGCCTGATGACAGACACTTCCAGAATAAACAGTCCCAGCATACATCCTGTATTTTTGAGTAATAATTGCTCTGTACTCCTTATTGCCAGGTACTGCCACTCACCTTGACAGCCTATCCTGGGTCAACCTGTGTTCAGTTGACTGTGACCATGTGGTTGGAATATCCACTTGCCAGACCATCAGCTCCCCTAGAATCCTGGATCTCGGAGTAGCGTTTATCATACTTGTGATTATTTAATGTTTGTCTTTGTCTTTACCCTCTATGAAAACAGTGATTCTGTCTTACTGATTACTCTGCTTTAAGACTGAGCACAATAACTGGAATATAACACATATTTCAGCAAGTGTTTAGATTTAATTTCCTAGCGCCTAGGGAGGGATCTGTTCTTCCTCTGTCTGTCCCACAGGGTTGGTGGTTTAGCTCCAGATGCCAACCCCTTCCGGTCTGTTCTGCACCTGGAGAAACTGTGACTTGCCTGGCTGTGTTCTGTGGTTACATAGCTACAAAGATGGCAATTGAGATCAGATTTGTCATTACCTGAACCACTAATTATAGTTTGAAAACAACAGACTCCTGGCAAAGAACCCTATGATTCTTATTAGGGTTGTAGAGCTTGCTTGGCAAGAGTTTCAATCTGATCAAGAATATTGAGAATATTAAGAGACAGAGAGAAAATAATCAATCAATTAATCAATTAATTAAAATGATTAATAGCAGTAGTCACTATTATCCAGTGTTAAGTACTGTCCTAAGTGCTTTACATGCATGAACTCCTTTAATCCTTGCAAAAACCACACAAGTGAGCGATTAGGCAAGTGAGCCCATTTTAAAGTGAAGAAACCGAGCCATTGGAGTAACTTGTCCAAGTTCAAGTAAAATACTGAGTTGGGATTCAAACTAGGGCAGTCTGGCTCTAGAGTCTGTGCTTGTAACCTCTGTACTATTCTGCCTCTCAAAACTGCAAAGCCTAATGCTCTGAAAGAAAATATGGTGTGACAGAGATAGAAAATTAATATTTCTCAGTTTAAAATAGCAACAACAACAAAAACAAAACTTTCTAGGCAAGGATTGACCTCAGATGTCAACATACCAAAACATAGGGTAGAGTAGGGTAGGGAAGGGATGAAAATAAACTTTAAATTTCAGTATGCTCATAAAACCAACAGACCAAGTTACATTCAGCTTTTGGATTCCCTTCCTGTCCACGTCCATATACATAATTACAAACATGACAGATACAATTTTGAATTCTGCCTTTTTCATTTAACATTGTCATAACCATTAACCATATTGTTTTCTAAATGTTAAGATGATACCATATTATAGTTTTCATTTGCATTTGTTGTTAACTCATTGAAAGTTTTTCCATGTTTGTTTATAAATTGTGTATTCGTTATATAAATTATTTATACTTTGCCCCTTTATCCACTAAAACCTTAACTTTTTTCTTATAAATTTGTTTGATTCCTTTTTTAATATTGACATTGTTTATTACCCTTCTTTAAAAAAATTTTTAACAAACATTAAAATCCTTGTTCATTTTAATGACAGAGCATGAGCAGGGGAGGGGCAGAGAAAGAAGGTGACAGAATCTGAAGCAGGCTCCATGCTTGGAGCTGTCAGCACAGAGCCTGACACATGGCTCGAACTCACAAGCCATGAGATCATGACCTGAGCCAACATCTGATGCTTAACTGACTGAGCCACCCAGGCACCCCTGTTTATTACCTTTTTTTTTTTTTTTAATTTTATTTATTTCTAGGAGACAGAGACAGCGCGAGCAGGGGAGGATCAGAGGGAGAGGGAGTCACAGACTCTGAAACAGGCTCCAGGCTCTGAGCTGGCAGTCAGCACAGAGCCCAACACAGTCCTTGATCTCATGAATCGTGAGATCATTACATGAGTTGAAATCAGTGGTGGAGGGGTCTTAAGTCATAATTGAAAGAAGCCATTATAGCCTACCTATTATATTCCATGATCCGGAATCAAATCTACTTTATTTGGCATTTCTTTTCCTTGTTCTTAAGATGCTATTAGCTGTACCCTCCCAAACTGCATTTTTAAAATCTATTAACAGAAACACTTGAGATAATTTGCACTTGCTTTGTCATAGAGGGTTTTACCATTGTCTTTCTACTAGTGTACACAAGGGCTTTTGTTGTTGTTTTTTTTAGTTTGTTTTTATTTTGTATTTTGATGTTCATCTTAAAACACATATGTCCCCAAACCCTTACAAACCTGTAACTACATTGCTTTTATGTTTGAAAAATGATGACTTCAACTAGTTTAGCAAAGTTCAATCTTTCACTTATAATACATGGTAATGTTGTTTTTTAGTATTCTTGTTAAAAATATCTTTTTTAAAATTTATTTTTATTTATTTATTTTTTCCCTAACTTCTCTCTTTTTGCTTTTCCTTATAGCACAAAACCATCCCATGTTCACAGTCTGGTGTATGTAGCCTAATGTAGTTTTTCTATGATCATGTAGACATTTGAAAATATATTTACACACATTCAGATTGTTGTTTCATTTGTTTTACATAAATGGAATCATACACATCTTTGTGCATCTTAACTTTTCTTGCTCAATAATCCTATCTGGAAATCTCTTGGGCTAATTTCACCCATTCTGCCCTTGTAAGCAAACAAATTTCCATGCTACCACAGAACAATCCACAGAACAACTGGGGGGAATATAATTAAATGGCTCCTTCATGTAGTTTTTAATGAAACAAAGGAAGTCTGTTCTGAGGAATAATTGATGTTGTTACTCGTTGTGGCAGAAAACGTCCAGCAACTTTTAGACGAAACTTCTTCAGATTCAAAACAAAAGAAAACAAACAAAAATGCTAAAATAGGTCCCTGCTTTTACCAGGCACCCTGTACCTGCCTGATATATTGACCAGTCTGGGTTTGGGAAAAGGAACCGATAGATAAATTTAGTGTAAGGTATTGGAAGTGCTAGGATCCACCTGGTAGTTTTTAGTCCTCACAAATGGTCAATGTCTGCAATTGGATGCCAAAAATTCTCCTGAATAAAAGTTATGCCCTGTCATCAATAGACCAAAATCAGCAGAGCAATTACAAGTAATAAATGTTGGGTGATGCTCTTATGTCAGCCGTCAATTTCGCAAGTTTTGTTAGCATAGAAAGGGGAGAATAGGTGGTAGGAGTTAATGTGAAAGACAGCTAGGCAGTGTTAGTAAATTTCCACTTTAATATAAGCAAACAGTGTTCAGCAGTTGTTAAGTAAGTAATGCAATCTTGGGCTCTGCTACTAGAACTTTACTGTTCCAATACCAGTGAGTAACAGAGTCTGTACTCTCATGATTAGTCTTTATTTGGGTTTCAGTTGTAGGTACTACACTTTGGGAGGAATGTTGATAATTATATGGGACAGTAATTTTTTATAAGGTACTATTTCTTTTAAGAAACGAAAAAAATCTGAAACAAGTTCTAAAAATGCTGACATGTATTCATTTTGAGGGGTCGGTACATGAGAGTTTAATAATGCAATTTATATTATTTTAAATATATATTTAACATATATTTATAATAACCCCAAATACTTTCCAAAATTGGTTAGTGATTTCCCACTACTCTTCATTAGCTTCTTGTCTGAGGCATATTCATCTCCCCTGTTTGTGATTAGATTCTTTTAGGCTATGCCACACATGTCTTTCTCTATACTGTGAATTCAAGCAATGTTGATTGAGCATTTTCTAAATGATTGATGTCTTAGGGCAAAGGGTAAATTTTTTTAAGTATATTTATTCATTTTGAGAGAGAGAGGGTGTGTGTGGCGGGGGAGGAGGTAGGGGCAGAGAGAGAGAGAATTCCAGGCCGGCTCTGAACTGTTAGAACAGAGCCCAATGTGGAGCTTGATCTCATGAACTATGAGATCATGACCAGAGCCGAAATCAAGATTGGGACACTTAACTGACTGAGCCACCCAGGTGCCCCACAAAGGCAGCTTGTTATAAGAAGAGACTCAATGATAATGTAGCCTAAAGAGCAAAGAAGTTTGTGTCTCTTCTATGCAATGATATAAAATGCACAATCCAAGTGAGTGGGACAGCTCTGCTCTGGGGAGTTCAAAATGGACCCAGGCTTCTTCCAGCTTGTGGCTCCACCCCAAATGGAGCATAAGCCACTTGTGGTCTTGCTGTTATCTGCATTGTTCAGGCTGGGAAGGGACAAAAGGCAAGGAGACATTCCTAAGACAGAAACGCAAAAGGGGTAGCCATCACTTATGTTCATGTTCCATTGGTGAGAACTGAGTCACCAGCAAGGGAGTTGTCTAACAGGCAGGGAAGCTTAGAAATGTGTCCAGGAAGAAGGGGAGTTTGACTTTAGTAAACAGTTACCATTCTCTAGTATATTAAAGTGCTATGTGCTGGAGTGTTTTCTCCTGCTTTCTCCATCCATCCAGGACCCTTGTCTTCAAAATTCGCTTTAACTTAATTTCTTCCAGGAAATTGGAAGACAATGTATGTAGGAAGACAATGACACTCTGTTTTCTTTAATTATATTCACAATGTGAATTTCATTTTAGTCAACAGCAGAAAATCAGTCAATAAATATTTATTAATATATACTGTGTAGCAGGGATTATGCTGAAAACAAGAAATAAGATGGTAAACAAAATATATATAGTTTCTGCCCTCAGAGAACTTACAGACCAGTGGAAAAGACAGATATTATTACAGATATAATTAAGTCATTAAATTAACATTTAATAATTTAAAATATAATCTAAATTAGATATTTTTATTAAATTTGTAAGTATCAATTATATATGATAAATACTGTAAAGGAATAGAACAAGACACTCTGAAAGAATATAATGAACATTATTTTAGCTTGGAGGCTTGAGGAAGGCATAGTGAATGTGAACACCTATCTATCTATCTATCTATCTATCTATCTATCTATCTATCTATTTAAATGTTTATTTGTTTTTGGAGGGAAAGAGAGAATGTGAGCAGAGGAGGGGCAGAGAGAGAGAGAGAGAGAGAGAATCCCAAACAGGTTCTGTACTGTCAGTGCAGAGCCTGACACATGGCTTGATCTCACCAACCATGAGATTGTGACCTGAGCCAAAATCAAGAGTGGGATGCTCAACTGACTGAGCCACCTAGACACCCCATGAGTACCTAGTATTTATTTTTTTTCTTTCATAGTTTACTGTCAAGTTGGTTTCCATATAACACCCCGCGCTCATCCCAACAAGTGCCCTCCTCC